ATTTTCAAAGTAACGAGTTGTCCCTTATAAATTTACCTTCTTTGGTGTAGATTTCTGGCCCTGGGTTTGACTCGATGCCAACCCTGAGTAGAGGAATACGTAGCGAATGTAGCCCTATGGACCACCAACTTCTGAGATACTTCGCCGACCTAAACGAGGTTAGATCGCCGAAAGAACAGNTCTGGCCCTGGGTTTGACTCGATGCCAACCCTGAGTAGAGGAATACGTAGCGAATGTAGCCCTATGGACCACCAACTTCTGAGATACTTCGCCGACCTAAACGAGGTTAGATCGCCGAAAGAACAGCCTTGGTCGGGTAAAACCCGAGTCATTCCGGTACGTAGGACCGGCTGTCGTGGGAATGGTGTTGTGGCCTATAACTGTGTGGTGTATTTGGACTACTGCACAAAACAGAAAATACGATAAATTGTCAGGGACTTATCGACAGCTATCGATTACATTTGACGCGTTATCACCCTGTTTTTCCGTTAGTCCTTCCCAATGAATTCCGGTAGTGCATTCCAGAATTCAGCGAAATTTTGACAGTTTGTCGAATTGACGTTTTTTAGTGGCTGGAACGCGTTTATTTTTTTATTTATTGAAATTGTGAAAAATGGGTCGCAATGATTCTGATGATGGTAGCGGTGAGTGTAATTTGCATAATGCTAAACTAAACCGATAACTTGCTATGGTATACATAGGCTCTGAGACCGTAGGCAGCCATAGTCGATCTCCATCGCCTCAGACAGCACCCACGCCGGGCTTCACATTAGAGCATCATGATCCGGAGCCAGGGTAATAGAATCCGCAAAAAAACCGTAAAATCAAATTCAATAAATTTTTCTAGATCTCCACATAGTCATCATTCAGGCGCTAGTGGAAGCGACCGCAAATCTCGTTCCCGCTCGGGCTCATCTTCTAGTTCGGGCTCGGCCAGCAACTCTGGGTCTCGCTCTGGCTCACATACACCATCTGGTTCACCTCAAAGCCGACGATCAGGGTCTGCACACAGCCGGCATTCAGCCAGATCGGCGGCCCCTAGCCGGGATCACAGCCCGGCCGGAAATCGTGAAAATTCCCGAGGGGCAAGCCGCTCACAGTCCCGAGCGACAAGTCGCTCACAATCACGCGCTGCAAGTCGCTCACAATCACGCGCGGCAAGCCGCTCACACTCGCGCGCGGCAAGCCGCTCGCAATCACGCGCAGCAAGCCGCTCACATTCGCGTGCGCCGAGCCGCTCACAATCACGCGCAGCAAGCCGCTCACAATCGCGCGCAGCTAGCCGCTCACAATCACGCGCGGCAAGCCGCTCACAATCGCGCGCGGCGAGCCGCCCACATTCAATTGCCGGAAGTCGAGAACAATCACCAGCAGCAAGTCGAGAACCGTCACCAGTAGGAAGTGAACATACGCCTGTCGCCAGCCGCAATGCATCACCAACAGCAAGTCCTGATCAAACGCCTGTCGCCAGCCGTGGCCCATCGCCCACAGTCCAAGAATCTTCTTCAAAACCCAATGCTACTACACCGGCCAATCAAACGCCAGACGATGAGGATACACGTTCGCAATCACCTAATTTGCAGATTGATGATCGTGCTAATTCACGCTCACGTTCTCGTAGTCAAAGTCATCGCTCACGTTCTGGCACACCTCGTTCCAAATCTGGAGGCTCTTCCCGTTCTGGATCAGGTTCACGTTCACGTTCTCGTTCCCGTTCTAAGAGTGGTTCAAGATCACGTTCCCGATCGCGTTCTCATTCCGGCTCACGGTCAAAATCGGGTACACCAGTATCCCGCAAATCTGCCAAGTCGGCCAGTGGTTCGGAATCTGGTAGCGATTTTGGTGCCCGTAAGAAGCGTAAAGCAGCTGCCTCAAGTGAGTCCGAGACTGAAGGAGGTCAGCAAAAACGAGGTAGTGGTGAAGAAAGTGATGGTGGTGCCGTCGCAAAAGCAAAAAAGGCACGCATAATTGATTCAGACAGCGAAAACGAAGAGGTTTGAGTTGAAATTCAATACATATTATTATTTTGTTGTTTTAAATTCGTTTTGTTTTTCACTTTCAGCAATCGCAAAAGATCGACGAGATTGACGCAACTGATATTTTTGGCGATGCCGATGATATTAGTTTATCCGAGGATGAGGGTCAAAAATCCGATGCAGCTTCACGCAAGAGCCGTTCGCGCACACGTTCACGCTCCAAGTCTAAATCAAGCTCACGCAGTGGCTCACGTCGCTCAGCATCGGGTTCACGCTCTCGATCACGTTCTCGCTCATCACGTTCGCGTTCTCGTTCAAGAAGTGCAGCCCGTGTTGTGGAGCCGCAGCAGAAGGAGGACGAACCTGAACCAATACCCGAAACCCGAATCGATGTAGAAATTCCGCGTATTGTAACCGATTTGGGCAAGGAAATACATTTCGTGAAGCTTCCCAACTTTCTTTCGGTTGATACGCGTCCTTTTGACACAGAAACGTACGAAGATGAAATTGACGAGGAAGAAACCATGGACGAAGAAGGTCGCCAGCGTATCAAATTGAAAGTGAGTAACACCATACGTTGGCGGGAATATATGGCCAACAACGGAGACATGGTGAAAGAATCAAATGCGCGTTTTGTGCGCTGGTCAGACGGCAGCATGACTTTGCATCTGGGCAATGAAACTTTTGATGTTTATCGACAGCCATTACATGGCGATCACAATCACATGTTCATCCGCCAGGGTACAGGTTTGCAAGGCCAGGCGGTGTTCCGTACTAAACTCACCTTCCGACCGCACTCAACCGAATCATTTACACACAAGAAAATGACAATGTCCTTGGCCGATCGTTCGCAAAAGACCAGCGGTATTAAAATTCTCACACAAGTCGGCAAAGATCCAACCACCGATCGTAAATTCAATCTCAAAAAGGAAGAAGAAAAACTGCGTCAAGCCATGCGCACACAATCAAAGCCGCAGCCGAAGAAAAAGAAAGGTGGTGCACACGATGCACATAGTGGCGTTAATTCATCGTATCAACACGACGAAGGTAGCGACGATGAAAATGCCATTTCGCTCAGCGCTATTAAGAATAAGTATAAGAAGGGGAGTGGTGGTGGTGGTGGTGCCGCGCCATCGATTACATCCGAGCAAAAGGGTTCGGCCATTTACTCGTCAGATGAGGATGATGGCTCTGACTTCGAGGGACGTCGCAGCAAGAAGACTGACAAGTCCAAATCGGTAAAAGCGTTGCGTGACTCTGACAGCGAATCGGATGAGGAGGAGCAGGAGCAGGCGAGTCGCAAGGGTAGTGGTGGCGGCAGCGGTAGCGACAGCGAGGGTAGTGGCAGTGCCAGTGGCAGCGGTAGCGGCGGTGAAGAAGGTGGCAGTAAGCCTGACGGGGGCGCTGGTAGTGCCAGTGGAAGTGGCAGTGGCAGTGACAATAATGAGTAAACAACAAATGAATAAATAATATTGTATGTTTATGCATGTGTGTATGTACAACTACTGTATTGAAAACAAGAAGTTAGTCCTGTTGGACAATGTGCAAAAATGCAATGTGTAGTTTGCAAAAATTTTCGGTATTGTTACGATTTTAATTGGATACTTGCTTGTATAAGCATGCACTGGACATAATGAAACTAATAAATAAAGAAATGTAGTGTACGGATATGTGTATTTATTGCTGTTTCAAATAGGCGAATTTCATTCCAACAAACAAACTAATGATAGAATTTATTTATTGGCGAGGAACTCATACCACACTTGCGGTCCTTGGGTTCTCATCTTATCGATGACTTCTCGTCATTCCTCAGATAACTCAGGGACTTAACGGCAACCGTCCTCTATGAGAGGATCGTGCAACTCAACTAACACCCATCTCCTTCTAAACCGCCCTCTTCGTAATAGCACCTTCTTGGGTCTGGAAATCCCCCGACTTCACGCGCAGATGATGGCTCAATATGGCATCCGGTAATGGCATTGATGACATGCTCAAAGTAAACGGCTATTTGCCCTCACTAGCTTCGTTTTTGACTACCATGAACCCTTTTCCCCACGAAATTATCGGGAACCATCTTTACTACCTGAACTTAACAAGGCCACGTTGGTGGGATAAATCACGTCACACAATAGCAATTGGCAATTGAGTTCAGAGCTGCAACCAAGTCCTCGAGTCGCTCGCCGGCAGGAAGCGAATTCGAAGAAACGTTGTAGGCTTCATACATTCAAGGTAACTGGCCAGCTACTAGCCCAAGTTGGCTAGTGGTACACAGTGGGCAAAAGTTCATTATGCCACAGCACAGTACTCCTGACACCTACGAGATTTTTACAAAAACAGCAAATAAACGCAGAACATTCTCTTAGGCACATAAGAAGGCATCTTTTTGAACTGAAGGAAACGATTCAGGGCTAAAAACAACAACTACTGTATTCGACGACGCTTTACAGACAATTAACGGCATTCGCTGAGAAACCATCACCACCTGCACCAGCTCCCGCCAATGAATGGCTTCGTTTCATTGCAGATAGATAGGTTTTTACTGCTTCTGTAATTTTTCAAACCGCCAAAGAATAAATCGGTTTATTAGCATTCATTAAGATATAAATTTTTTATCGCATACTTTCGAGTCCAAACAATTCATAATCGATTCTTAAACTGCACTCGCTTATTGGAGTTATTTTTTTAGATGTAAATTATTCCGAGATTTTTTTACTTACATACATTTATCTTGTGGTCTCATTTTTTAATTTGCAAATGTATACAATGCAATGTTTACATATTTATTAATTTTTTACCATCAAGTTGTTTTTTTTTTAAATCATTTTAAATGCTTACACAATTTTCCGCGAGACAAAACTAAACTAAAGTTAATACGTATTTTGTTTATTTGTTTACTAGTTTTTAAAAGTGTTATTAGCTCATAATAAATATATAGGTATAAATAGTTATTTGTCGTAATGAAATTCATGCAGATGCACTGCTCTTAACGGTATTCACTACGATTTCTGTATAATTGATTGTGCGTTTAAATGCATTATTTTTTTCAAGTTCAACATCAACTTCAGTTAACTCTATTAGATATTTTCATATTTGTTGTAGTTATTTTCGTTATCCTCTCTATTAAGTGTATGTGTGTTTGTATAAAAGTTAAAAGAAATGCTTTCAGTTCAATTCATTTAAAGTTTTGGCTCTGTCAAAAAATTCAAAATGCTATGCATTTATGTAGTTAAGAAAATAACGCAAAATGTGCGTTAAAGAAACTGAATCCGCAACCTCATGTACAGATTTGCTGCAATTGTATTCGAAAAAAAACAAAAAAAAAATGCAGTAAGTTCTAAAATGTTAAGTACACAAATTAGTGCAAAATAAAATGTTCAATTAACATAACCTTAAATTATAAATACATTTCGATTTGCTTTGGGTTATTCGAAATTCTTAATGAATTGCTTGCATCAACGAAAAAATTGCTCCAAATGTATAAGAATTAGTGCTCAAAATTACATATGTATGTATCTCCGCTCAAAAAATTAAAAAAAAAAAAGGATTTGATTTAAAAATAAAGGCACATATGTACATAATCTCTTATATACTCCACTTACATACTTTAAAAAGCATTTATATTAGTACATACATATATATTTCTTTACAAACATTGCAAAAACTTGTATATATCTTTTATTATCTTTTTTTTATAAAAGTATTCGTATATAGTCAATTTGTTAAGATGAAAGAAAAATGAACAAAAAATTTTATTGAAAAAATTTTCAAATGTTTTGCATTTTTCTATGTATTTGCTCACCTCAGCCTACTGCATAGTACACATGCCACTTAATACCGCCTTTTGTGCAATTACCAATTACTTAAGTAATACATATGTATGTACATATGTACATACATATATGCATGTGTGTATACACATTTGTAGCTAAGTATACAGTATTCGCTCAAATTCACAAGGCAGTAGTTAAGTTAAATGATTTAAATACTCAAATACAATTTTGTTTTCCCAAGTCTTACATTACTTAAAAACAATTTGCGAAAATATACAAATTTTAATTGATTACTCGTAGCATAAATCATTGCGGGCATACTATTTTAGCTGCTTTTAAGTAGCTATGAAGTATACGTGAGATTCAAATGATTGCACTGCGCTGATTGGTCTAATATCCTTCTGTTTCAGTGATGTTCGTAAACCCCAAGCTAAGGGTATTGTGCCGCAAGTGAATGAGAAGCTTCGGCAGCGTTCATTAGCATCAGCAGGCCTGTAGGAAAAAATTTTAATAATTAATATGCTTGTAGATGTCTAGGCATGTATGTATGTACATTAGACTGCATCACTCGCCATACAAAAAAAAAATCGAAAACGTTTTTCCATTGGAATTATGAAATCTAATATATTTTAAGACGTCCACCAAAATATTTCGGAAATATTTTTATAGAGATTTTTTAATCCTTATCTGTTTTGCCATCTGAGGGGAATTTTCAAAGAGTTCTTCACGAAACTATTTTTATTCATAAAAAACTCCATGTTTGAAGGTATTTTCAAATCGGTCCAGCTCTAAGTGAGCTTAATATTTTTCCGAAATATTTGGTGGACGTCTTAAAATATAATAAAATCATATAATAATTGCAGTTGTCAAGGCAAACTATCTATTAATGAAACTTGGCAGATTTTTTTATATTTTTTGCACGAAGTTTGAAATGTGGATTTAAGTGGTGTTTGTTATATAATCAGCTAGACTTTTTTGAAAAATAATAAACATTAAATATACAAAAGAAAAATAGCCAAAATTTATGAAAACGTTGCTGGCTTAATTAGCTGACCGCAAGTGTATGTACATACATAGATTAAGTCCATCACCCATTCCGCTTCACTCACCTGCAATCGTATCGAATTCATTTCGTAGCCACCTTTGCTTTGCATTTGCGTTTGCAACGCATTCAGATGATTTGTCGATAATTCTACATCGGCAGAACCGATATGTCCAGTGTGTACGAAATTTGTGGGATTACCGATCATCGAGCGATCGATGCGCAGGCGTTGATGACGTCGTCGCGACGGTGATTGCGGTTGATGGAAACAGCAGGAGAACCATTGTAGCCAAATATCGCCGGTAGATGCCATTTTACGGTTTTTGCTGCTGATGGCAACTGTTGTTGTGGAGGTGTACGAATTTCGATTTCCCTTAGCCACGGTGACGGCTATTCGTTTGTATGTTGGCGGGGTAGCTTATGGAATTTTGAAGTGGTTAACTAAGTGGGAAAACAAAAACACAAATAGAATATAAATAACTATAAATTAATAATTGAATTTTATGGTATTTTAGATGTTAGAACAGACTTAATGGGACTTTTAGTGTACCTACAACACTACATACATAGATATACTTAAAAACTATACACAAAGCTGTAGATAGAGGAAAATGTAGCCTCAACATACTTTTTTGTTGCTTTTGTATGCTAATGTTGTTGCTCTCGAAGTACATATTCTATCTTTGTAAGATGATGGTATGACAATATTCGCAGATGGTTTTGTCATTGGCGCCTACTTTTTTTAAGTACATGCATTCACACATGGGCTATTTTTCATTTCTTTATTTAATACTAGCAAATACCCGGCGTGCTTCGCTGCGCCTTAAAAGTATTTTTGTGTTATTACTCTCTCCCAAAACACTTATGGCCTCATTCAATAAAACAAAAACTATATAGATTTAAAGAGCTTTATGATGTGAGATTTTCAAACAAATGTGGGTGTTAGTTATTATAGTTAATACATTTTCGAAGGTACTTATAAAGTAGGTAAAGTATCGATTTTCTCATGAAAATTTAATTCATAGTCTTATAACTCGAGTCTAAATATCGCGCACTTTCTTCAAAGGGGAACTAATTCAATATTTAACTGAATTAAATTTTTCAAATAAGTGGCAACCCGCTTCAAACATATTTGCAACAGTAAACATTCTTAAGCCTCTTTAAATTGATACACATATTGCAATATCTAATTTATCTTGTCAATTAAATGAAATTAAAATGTTAAGATAGCGATGGTATGTAAGTAATTTCAAACTTTGTGCAATATTAAAAAAAAATCCAAGAAACTTTCAAAAAAATGTCAAGCTGTTTAAATAGATTTCTTAGAAAGATTTTGAGTATGTATGCAGTTTTGTAGCCTAATTTTTGTATAATAAGTGCAAGTTGGAAGTGGCTACAAAATAAAGTTGATTTTTGGCAATTTTTTTGTTGACGGTATAAATTATTTTCTTCCATGGCAGGTATGTTTTGATAGAGAACAAAATACACAGCACCGTCGAAAAAAAATTGCTGAAAATTAACCGCTTTTTGTAACGTATACTAGCATATATATATGCATTACGGCGCAATACCAAAAAAAATGCGGTTTTCCACCGGAATCAAAAGATTTATTAAATTTTAAGACTTCTGCCAAAATATTTCCATATGTTTTTGTAAGAAGATAAGAAAAAGTTTCGTATGGAAAATATTAATAAACAAAATCGGTAAACGTCAGGGTGTACTAATTTTTGACGCTCACTGTTTATAGGTAATTAATTTGAAAAAAGTAAATAGTCAAAGCTTATCAATATAAGATACAATTTTTAAAGTGCCCTAACCCCTTTCCAGAATTTTCGCTTGTTTTTTCTCTTTACTTATGCTGCTTTCCGGAGCGCTGTTTTAGTGTTATGTACCAAAAGCTTTCATTCAATATATATATTATCGTATAACCTCCTTTATTTAATTAACTGTAATAGAAGCCCTGTCATCCATTTAGTTTCGGAACCACAGCTGGCATTTCAGGCGAAGGATAGAATACAAAAAGAATAAGGAATTCCTTTTAATTTAATGTATTTCTTGATTCTACATTGACAACTTCATTTTGCCAGCTACTGTATGTAGGGCTATGCGGGAAGTTATATGAATGTATATGAAAAAATGCATTACATATTATCAAACACACCAATGTCTACACATAAATATGTAGATGAAAACTTAATTGACGTGTTATGTGTTCGGTGTGTCTGAAAGCGGAGCATAAGTAATTAAAAGCCGTTTACTGGATATAAAAAGTAAATGAAAGTAAAAGAAAAATCTTCGCTCCAATTAATGTGATTTTTCTTTGCTATGTCTTTGGCTAATGTGGGCCCAACTACTATTCTTCTGACACCTATGCATGTAGGTATGCTATATATACAAATTTCCGTGCACAACTTTTTTCACCGCTTTTACAGACTACTACCTATTCACAAACACCAACATGAAAGGCCGCCCCACAACATTGTGACCAAGTGGGGAGGGCAAATTGGAATGCCAAACCTTGCCAGGTCGACTTGCTACTTGTATTTACGCCACGAATGCCACTAGTTGGTTACCTGTGGTCACCCTCCCGTAAACCGCAAATCTTTCATTTACGTGTTTCTTGATGTTTTTCCTCGCCACTGGAATGGACTGACATGCGCACATTTGCTACATTTACGAGCATTTCTAGTTCTTAGTGTAGTCTTAGTTGTCACGGTAGTTGCACCTTGGAGGGCAATTGCATTAAGAAGCTTGAGGAAAGCAGCAGGCATGGACAACGGCTTGACGAACCACAACGCAACGATTTAAATCGTCGAGTGAAAAGCAATTAATGTTGCCGCCAAGCGTAAATATTTCATGAATGTATGTAGATGGTACATACTAGGGATGTTTCGAATGCCATATTTTCCACATTCACGAACGCGAATACGAATGCGAATTTTATGAATAACATTAAAAAAAAGCTATAAGCAACTTAAGTCATAGTTTTTATTACTTAAAATTTTTGTAAATTATTAGAACATTTAACGAGGGCTTAACCATACAGCATAGTTGTCAAAGTTCAAAGGGGCATATTATACTATTTCAAAAAAAGTAATTTTGCTGTCTTTTCTCCTATGAGGCAATTTCTTAGAGGCGATTTCTTAGAGGCTCTTATATAACCCCACGTCTCCATTATCTACTATGTGTCTCAATATCTATCAAATTTCTGTTTTAACTTCGTCCCGTTTTCTCATGTGGGCCACTTGCTGTCTTAACATATCACTTTCAAAATGGCATCAAGCCAATCAGATCAATCTGTACCCAATGTAGATGGCGCAGTAAAATGAAAACTGAGTTGTCAAACTACGAAATTATAGCTGACGGTAAGAAATTCGGAAAGACAGATATGGTTTAACAGTGGAAACTTGCGGTATCCACCTGACGTTTCTGACTTAACGCAACTTTTTTAACACAATCCTGTAGAAGGCGGAGATGTGGGGTAGGTCCGGAACGCCGGCAGGTGGAGCGCCCAAATATATGCGGGCCAGATATGTCAATTTGTCGTATTGTAGTTTAGTTTTCCACCAATCGACAGTATTTTTATCGAGATGAGCTCGTTTTTCTTTAGGACAGGCCTTCAATTTGGCTTTTTTAATTTCACATTTTTTAATGTCTCCACATTCTAAAATTATTTCTATTAATGTTGCTTGATATACTCCTTAACCGTTTAGCACCTGAAGCTAAAAGCCGGTAGCGTACACCCTGTAGCTCGTTTCTGTAACAATTCTCTACCGATTATTTCTCTACTGATAGAGAATATACGTCATTCTCTA